CGATTTAGTTGTCAGATGTTTGTCTCTTGCGTTGAGCATGTCATAGCCGGTAGACAATGTAAAATGATAGCAGTTGATTGACATTACAAAGTATCTTATTAAATACTTAGATATTCACAAACGGCGTATTTTACTAATTTCGACAAAAAAATGAACAAGTTTTATTGTTAGAAACGGACCGGAGTAGATTTAATTCTTCGGCAAACGCAATAAATAATTAACACAAAAATACTCGAACGAGCGTCAGCGGATGACTGATAATCAAAGCCCATGGAGAACTGCGAACATTTCCCTATGATTTTGAAGCTGCCAACGTCCTGTTTCTGTTCCAAATATCTGCCGGACTATATGCAGTAATCGAAGTATTCAGCCAAGTTTCACCAATTAGTAAAGAAAGCCAGCATTTAAAGGAAACACTTTAAATTCAACCAGAATAATGCTAAAATAAGTACACTGGCGTAACGCTACGTTTAATTTAGAATTAATGCGGGTAGTGTAGAGCTGCAGAGTGACACATACTTCTCATACCCGTTCTGTTATAGGCTAGAATAGTAAATACGAAGTGCAGATTGGTCAACGTCTACACTATACTGTATGACCGCACCTCAGAACACCGAACGTTCATAACCTGTTTAATTTTACCTTAAAATATTTTATCTAGTCGGTCTTAAGTGCTGTATCTGCCAAAGTTTACCATTATGAAAGTATAATTCGAATCTGTATAGATCTGAGCGGATGCCTCGTGAATCAGGTGGACGGACTTTAAATCTAATGTTTGGGCTTTAAGAGAGTTGGGCATTTCGCTGCTGCTCTCCAGCAAAATATAGGAGCAACAAGTGCAGTGTTCGTCATTTCATGAGATGGATTGTCGAGCGATTGATAAAAACTGTGCCAAGATCGAGGCAAATAAATGAAAATAAACGGTTATGGAGGGAAAGTAAATAAGCCAAAATCCAAAAGCTTGTAATGTCCTAACAACAGGCCAATTCGAATTCAAAACATTCTCAAAAAATTCTCTTCGAAAAAAATCGACGCCTACATGTATGGAGTGACGATTCGAAAAGCTGAGTATTTCTCGCCTTCTAATAAGCCATGCTCGCAAATGACAATCAGCGCATAAAACATCCAGGTATTCAAATCTAACGATAAGTCAAGTCAAAGAAATTTTAAGATCACCTTTAAAAATATTCTATGGTTAAAAACGCAGAGGAATAAAAAGTATACACAGTTAATCGCTTATCAGGAAGACAACGTACTTTGCAATCACAAGCAGCATACCGTACTGACTGCTGCCAACATTCCGTCCTGTACTCCCTTCGCAGTAGAGATAAAAATTGTTTGTTAAATGTGCGTCGGCACAGAAATACAGCAAAACATTACATGGCTCTTTCCGTTCATAAGGACAGTTTATTACAAGCACAGATGCCGTTGCATTGATGGATTCACTTCCCAAAAGCATCCACAGTCTCGCCGCTGACTTTTACCAAATAGTCGATTTGAGAAGATAGGTAAATCGTGACAATCTGCAATGTTGAAGGGGTTCATTGTTTAAAACTTAATTTCGACTTACTTCTGACGATTATGCATCTACAGGTCTGATATAAACTTGGTGAATGCCCTAATGCAGTACTTAATATATGACAAAACATGCTAACAATGTCCCTTCAGTAGCCGGTGATAACCTGCTACTGTGCCCATATCAAAATCACATCCAGAACGCGTAACTGCACAACGAATGATCAGCAGAATCGCGTACAGTTTTTATGTATGTAAATGTGCAAGAAATGAATTTGCTTCAAGACGCAACAAAACTTTAATATTTCGAATTTTCAAAAAAACAGGCTAATTTTCAACTAAACAACCAATCATGGTAAACCCGAATGCACAAGGAAACTAATTCAATAATCAAATAGCGTTGTCACTGCCACTGTACATACTTCAAAAACACGGAGAGTGCAATATTTACAGCACAGTAGAGTTTATTCTCTCGTTAGCATGCAGGTGACAAATACGTCTTCAGGAATTCAAAACTTCTATTATCGACTGTGAATGAGGGCATCAGGTATACAGTGAAAACGACGTTGCGCGAAAACCATGAAAATGAATTTCTTACAGATTATATACATGTAAACACACGAACTGGTCGCTAAACAGCAAACACTTTACAAGGCTGCTTAAATCTAGTCTTCGCTATTCGATCACTCTTGTTTTGATTTGTACGCCTTTCTAAGTATGATTGGCGTCCGGCCAGAGCATGACAAACAAACGATGATAACGGATACCGCCAATAAACATGAAGCACCTACACCAAACGAAAATTCGATCCAGTCCTGGTACGTCGTTCCGCACAATGTGTACCACTGCAAAGGAGGGCTGACATTTTCATCAGGAATGCTACGC